GTATCAGTTATATGACACGAAATAACCTCACAAGCAAATATTCTCCTTTTAATAACTTTGCATGATGTAAACATTAACGTGTTCATGTATAACCTCCTGAGTTATTTTATTATCTGAGTGTGTGCAGTGACAGATACGAGCAGAACAAACAAGCATGGAGAAACTTGTTCTGTTCATCGCCGCTGCATTAGAGCTGACCACCATAGAAAACATGGAGGATGTGAAGACCCTGACATGGTGGACTTGAGCAAATCTGACAACAGACAGCGATGTAAATTCACTCTCTCTGTTTAACTGAAACACATTTTTGACACTGGCTGTTGAAATGCTCGTACACTTCACGTCTTCATTGGACACATGGAGTAATCACTGACAGGACAGGCTCATGAGAGTATGATCCAAGTTTCACCTGCTGGCTGCGATCCTGGACTGGACTGTATGATGATGTAAACAGCTGTAGGTTTACAGCTGCTTATGAAAATAGTGACGCTGAGTTCAGAAATTGGAAAGGTGGAAAACCAGACAGCAGAAGAAGAACATTGTGCACAGATGACATCTTATGGGTCGTGCCAATAAAGTCCTGGTGTTCTCCTCACCGGCTTAGCCTCTGAGTTATCCAGTTAACTTCCAGTCTGGACACATGCTAGCCACTCCTCCCTCGCCAGATCTCTGCTACAACACACACAATTTAAGATTAGAGTAAACATGTGAGCACCGGTGCTGCATCTTTTTATTTACATAGTAACACGTCCTCCAGGCCATCCATTCCCAAACTCAAGAATGCTTTACAACAAGCAGAAAGTCCCCTGGAGCCTAACCAGTGTTAAGTCTTCCCTCTAATCACAACCCAAGAGAAAGTGATGTTTTCATGAAGATCTTGTTCTAGAACATGAACAGCACAGGCTGTTGGGTATAAATTCTTAATGCTACACAGTCATGTTAAGCCCAGTTTGTGACCCAGCTGCCACTGGGACATAAGCTCGAAGTCACATGTAAAAAAGACGACCAATATAAAACTAGAACATGCAACATACACATTTTATTTTCTATATCATCTTAAATTTCCACCTGGAATTTCACATTTTTAATTTCTGGTTACTATTGAAACTGCCCCCCCCCCCCTTCTCTCCATTTAAATAACGACTGAGGCATGACTGAGTTCATTTACCCCTTTATGACATGCAAATCTGATCCAAATTATTTCCTCCTTATTACTTTGCAGCTCCATGTTTACCGTCATACATGAAACAGACGAGGATGGAAAAGTTTCTTCTGTTCATCAAAGTGGTTTCAGGCAAGTATTTTAATCTATTTTTCTTAATATTAGTTAACAATAAATAAATAGCTTTATTATTATTTTTCATCTGGTGACTTTCACAACTATAAATAATATTTTAACTACACACCATTCTTTAATCACTGTACAGATTAAATAACCAACACGACCCAGCAGACTGAAATGGATGAGAGACTAGTTTTGCTTGTTTTTCACCATGTAATTAATATTCACATCTGTGTCAGGGCTGTGGGCCGTTTCCTCAAGTGCTCAGCATCAGTACCATTTTGTTTATGAGCAGAAGAACTGGACTGAAGCACAGCAGCACTGCAGACAGTATTACACAGACCTGGCTGCAATAGAAAGCATGGAGGATGTGAAGACTCTGAACAACATGGCAGACTTGGAAAAAATGAAATACTCAGAATACAGCAATGTAAATATCTCCTTAACATTGTTTTTAATAATTATATAAGGTGCAGATGAGGCTCAAGGTATCCACATGAAATTTGTAATGTGAAAATCAGAAGGTGCCTGTAAAGTAAAATTCTGTATTTCGTGTGTGAGAAAAATACTTTTTGTTCGTACATTTTAAACCTTTTAAGTCCTTAGAGCTA